ACCACCGGCTTGAAGGTGACCAGCGCCTGGCAGGACATCCCGGCGGGCATGGGCCCCGGGGGCTCAAAGCTGCAGGCCACGGCGGGGCAGACACAGACGGCGACCGTGCGACGGGGTACGGACAGGAAGGGGGCTGCTCGGGACCCACCCAGCGTCTGAGCCCCAGGCTGGCACCCACATCCCTGGCAGGTGCAGGGGAGAAGGGGCCTGGGGGCCTTGCGGGGCGGGGAGGGGCGGGGCCTTGGGGGCGCGGCGGCCGGCGGCCTACTGGACGTGGATGAAGTCGCGCAGGCTCTCCTCCACGCCCACCAGCTTGCAGTAGTTGATGCTGTAGGTGGCGTTCACCAGCGTGATCTTCTTCCTGTACACTTTGCCCACGTCGAAGTCCTGGGGACAGCGGCGACCACGCCAGGTCTCTCTGGCGGCTCCAGGGCACCAGTGTCCCCACTGAGCAGCAGCCTTGGACTGGACAGCCCCCATGCACCTTCGGGGGGCAGGTGGACGAGGAGCCGACAGGGAGGGGGTCCACGACCCCAGGGCTGGGACGCGGCCCCCAGGCCCAGGGAGGCGGCGCCTGATGGGAGCCTCAGGCCGAGCTGGGGGGCTGGCCGTAGGCCCTGTCCTCCCTGCAGGCCACCACTGGCCAAACCCTGCCGCTCCCTGCCCGTGTCCCGAGGGTGGCCTCCCCGTGTGCCCGCGCCCCCCGGCGCAGCCCACCTTGAAGTGGACGAGCTCAGGCTTGCTGTTGAAGGCCCGGCCCTTGAACTCGCGGCCAGAGGCCACCTGCTTGCGGACCACCCCGCTGCGCAGCTGCTGCACCACACGGGCCAGCATGTCCTGGTCCATCTTCGTCCCGCCCACGGGCTTCCGGTCCGCGTCCTCCTTGGCCACCTGGTGTCCGGGCCGGGGTGCTCAGGGCAGGCGGGGGGGAGGGCAGCGGGGCGCTGCTCTGGAACCCTGCGGGCCCCGGGGCCGCGGCTGCAGGCTAGGGCCCTTGGTTCCGGGGGCACGCTGGCACGGTGCCCGCTGCGGTCATGGCAGGGTCGGCCTGACCTCCCAGGACCAGTGGGCGCGGGCCATGCCCAGATGGCGGCCGTCCCTGCTGGCACAGCCTGGGGCCACGGCCGCCACGACGAGCCACGCCGCCTCCGAGAACGAGGCCTCGCTCACAACAGGACAGGCCCAGGGCCTGTGTCCCCGCCCAACGCGAGTAGCCGAGCGCCGCCGGGTGGCCAGACCCCCGTGCGTTGGCCGGGAGGCTGCGCCACGCACTCTGAGGGGCAGGCGCTACCTGGCAGCCATGGCGGCCTTCACTCCAGAGCCCAGCGATCTCCGGCTCGGCCAGTGTCTCCTCGTCGGAGCTGAGCAGCTCGGGGTGCGTGTGGACAGACTCGCTGGACACGACGCTCATCAGGCAAGGGGCCTGGGGGGGCGCGGGCTCGTTCTGCAGCTGGGGAGCAGGCAGCGGCTGGTCAGGGGGACGGAGACCGGCCAGGGCCAAGGCCGGCGCGCGCCCGCTGCAGAGACCAGACCGCCAGCTGCCCGCCGTGGCCACTGCGCAGTGACTGCGTGGGGAGCCCGGGGAGGTGCCCACGAGGGGCCCGCCCAGGGGCCTGGAAGCTGCAGCCGTCACCGTGACCGAGGCCTTCGGGCCCCGCAGCCCACGAGGGGGTCCGGCATGGCCGGTCACCCCTCGGCCAGCGTTGGGGAGGCGCTCGGTCAGCCGCGGCAGTGCGCCAGGCCCCTTGCACATGGCGGACAGGGTAGTGCCCCAGGACCAGCCAGGCCAGCTGACAGGAGGAGGGGGCAGGCGCCTGGGAAACGGGAGCCAGGAGACCCCAAAGCCGCCACCCACTTTGGAAACAA